ATATTTTTCAAAATATTTCTCGAACAGTTTCATATAAATTAAACGCGAAATGTTAAAATCAATTATAAATTTAAAAAATAAATAAAAAATAAAATAAAATAAAAAACCTCGATAAATATATAATTTTAAGTGAAGTTATGTCAAACACTTAAGATCGTATTAAAAAACAAAAAACTAAAAAGCAACACAAAATGCATATTTTTCAAAATATTTCTCGAACAGTTTCATATGAGAAYTCGCTTGCTCGCAGGCTGTACGGCGGGTCAGTGACTGCTGATCGAATGCATTTTTTTGCTGATCTGTTTGAATTGTGTTGAGTGAATATTTAAATTTCAGAAATGTGCTTCTGTGCATGTTTGTTATATAACAGCTCGCATACTTCCGCCTTGTGTGCTAGGAATTACAACGCTATCAAAACGAACTGGGACAAAGCTACCCAAGCGACGCTTTATTAACTTGAAACCTTAAAAACGCCAAGTTTGCGAATCAGTTATAGTTTTGAATTTGGCGCTTCGAATGGCGCAAGCTTCGTGAGCCTAAACGTTTGTTTAAAGCTTTGCTTTATGGGACGTCCAATACTAAGATAGGTCGTGTAGTACGTATTATATATTATAATGATGCTTACCCGATTCTCTTGTCTGTGTCGACTGCAGCTGTTAGTTATTCCACAGTGGTTAAAATATTATTTATATATAGTTCAATTTGAATATTTGTAGAACGTTTCTATTTTTTCGCAGCTGTAATTAATTCCACAGCTAAAAACTGTTAGTCTAAATGCACTTTAAATATGTTAATATTTGTATCGTATTTTTGGTGGAGCTTAAATGTTATGTGCAGCCTTTCACGAATGTACAGTGCTTTGCATATGATTTGTTTGTTAACAATTGGAATAAGTTTTTAAATTTGTCTTTTAAAATTCTTGAATTCTAAATTTGAAAATAAAAAATAATATATACAATATAAATTAGATGCTTTCAATATTGATCACTTTATAGAATATTCTATCATCTAAATTTACTGAAATGATTTGTGCACTTTACGCAACTCAAGTTCAATTTACGTAAAATGCAACAAAACAACAACAACAATCATTTGCACTTTTGTCAATGGCTTAGAATATTATTCACTGCCATCAACAAGCACACACAGAAATATGTAAACACATACACTTAGACTTACATCGAAGCACAATGGGTTAGCTAAATACTCTAAATTTTGTATTGCGACTCGCAAATAATTTGTTGCACTTGCAAGCTGTGCGCTTGGATTATTCCACAAGTTTGCGCTTTTTATGTGAATTTAAAATATATAATGGGTTTTTAGTTTTTTGATTATTATATTGAAAGTATATCTTGTCGAAGTGTTTCGAATCACACAGCGCAATTACACGAACCGTTCGCTTGAAGCTCGCAACGTTGAATGTTCAATGGATTCCCACTGCTGCTCCAGTGGAAGCCGCCGTTGCGGCGAGCCGAAGCTTTTTCTCACACACACAGTCGCGTGCTCACGTTCACATTCACATTGCACTCGACGTGAGACGTTGGAAGCTTCGGCCACCAGTTGCCGTTGTGCCGGCTGTCGGCTTGTGTTTGTGTGACGAAGCTCTCTTGTTCTAAGTGCTTCCCTCTCGCTCCCGCACACGGCCCGTTTGTGTTGTTCGAGTTGCTCACGTGTAGCCACAACGTGCGGCACGTTTGTTTGTCTACTCTGCTGGTGGTGTGTGTGTCTGTGTGTATGTGTGCGTGACAGTGTAACCATAATAATCACATACCGTTAAACGATTTCAAACTACGTCGCTTCCCTTCGGCAGCGACAACGACAACGACAACGACAGCCCGTTGCTCTCTATTGATTCTTGATGCTTTCGTATTGCTGTTGATGGTCGAGGTGAACGTGGAGGGGACAGTGGTGGTGGTGATGTTTATGCCAGTGGTTGCGCCCACTCTCCCTACCACACTTCATTGTCTGCTGTTGAATAACAGTTTTCGCTGTTCAGCTATTTTTACACAACATCGACTCAACAGTTGGTCAGCTAACGAGGCGTATGCGCAATGAAATGCAATGAAAAACAAAAAGAAAACAACAACACTTCACGTCGACGTCGTCTGCTGGCGCGAGCCCCAAGCACGTCAGCTCTACGCGACTGCAACAGCTCTAATGCCAATGTCAAACAGCAGTCCACATAATCGCGATTACAGACGATCGTTCTTCCTATGAGCATATCCATTGGCAAAATGCTCGAGTAAAAAATGAAAAAAAAAAAATAAAACAAGCAATTTGCCATTTGGTCTGAGTTAACGTATGCATGTGTGTGTGTATACTAAGGTGCCTCTGTGTGTGTGCTTCCATGATCATTATCAAGTTCAGGGTGAGACACATAAGCTATTGGCCTTAAAAACTTACGACAATAACTTAAAGTCAGCTGATACAGGTATATGCATGTTATTATTAATTTAATTATTGCAAATTGATTGCAGATCTTTAGATCCTGCGCTCTGAATGGGCCTGCATTGCATTGTCAAAACTTTAAAATTAAAAATTAATGGAAATAGGTGAAGAGAATAAATATTAAACAAGCAAGAAGAAATACCCTAAACCCTCCAAGCTGATATTCTAATCATTCTGCACTTCTTTTATGCACCCATACATACACATGCATCCACACGTACGTATAGGCACGCGCTCTGCTAACTGTGCAGTAAGCAGCGACTGCGCTTGGGCTGCGCTGCGGTGTGGGCAATATTATGAAAATTTATTAGTTGAATAATTTCTCTTCGAGATAGACAATCTTTATGAAACTTTCAGAGGGTAATTACAAGTCTCTAGTACTTGAAATACGTTTCTTACAAATTGGGGGCGAAAGTGGCGTGGTATCCAAAATCTGTGAATTACAAAATTTTTGTATTTATATATATACATATATGTATTTATCATATATCTGAAGATTCCAGGTCTACAAGTGTTCAAATTAGACGGAAAAAACAAAATAAAATTTCAATTAATATCGATAACAAAATTATCGGCTGAGTTATCGAAAAAAATATAATAAACTTGTACTGCGTATGGTATACACGAGTCTACATGATAAATTTCAGCTCTCTAGCTTTTATAACTTCTGAGATCTATGCGGACAGGCAGACGGACAGGGCTATATCGACTCAGCTCGTCGTCCTGATCAAAATTATATATACTTTTTGGGGTCTGCGATGATTCCTTCTGCCTGTTACATACATTTAACTAATCATTATACCCTGATTTTCCATTTTCAATGGGCTCAGGGTATAAAAAGTCGCATAAATAATAGAAAGAAATTAACGAATTATAATATTTCAGAATATTTCACAAATTGTAAATTTTGCATAAATATTCTTCATTATTTTGAAAATTGTATTATCTGAACTGCATTATTTTTAATATTCAGCATTTAGAATTATCTGTTTAACTTTGTTTCACTCTAATTGGGCATTTTATACTTTCCATATAAATACAATTTAATCAATCAGTTATTAAGCTTCATCATCAGCAGAAATTAGTTTTTAAATACGTAGTATTAAGTGTGTATACGCGCACATAACCAGAAACCTAACCGCAAACGTAAATAGCAAATGGTGCAAAGGTTAGAAACAAACACAGCCGAAAAGGACCCACAGCTACGCACATATCCTTGTCACATTCCTGACAACGCAATGCGACAACCTGTACATGCGTTGCCATAATGTGCGCAGAGCAGGTCGCGTGGTTGAAGCTCGGCGGCAGCCTGCCTGCTGACAGCCTGTGCTGCACTCTGGGATAAGTGTGGAAAATGAGTGGAAAGCATTTTGGTATTGCTGCATACTCAGATAATTTATTCAATCAGTTAGCCAATCAAACACCGCTGTGTTCCCTGATCCATTCACGAACAAAGGATACTCTACCATATACGGTCGGATAGTTGGGTTTCGCGCACGGAGTGCCCCAGGACACCACGCCCACCAACACGCCGCCCCCATTTACCAWGGGACCACCAGAATCGCCCTTACAGGAATCCTTGCCTCCTTCCGAATAGCCAGCACAGATCATGCTATCTGTCACACCACCGTATATCTTGTTGCACTCCTCCTGGTTGAACAGCGGAACTTGCACCTGCCGCAACCACTCCTCTGACTCATTAGAGTTCCATGTCTGGCCCCAGCCGCTCACATAACACATTTCGCCGTCCTGAAACTCTTGACCCTGCTTCGGCAGCTTAACTGCCTGCTTGGTCTCATCGAATTCAATTGGTTCCTGCAGCTGCAACAGCGAAATATCATAATCCGCATTTGAGAGATTGAATTTTTCATGGTTAACTATCTTTTTGATTCGGAGAAGCTGCCCATTTTTTTTAGATTCAGAGGTACCTAACCGCACGCGCAGCTGATTAGCTTTCCTTCCACTGGAGTAGAAGGAATTATTGTTAATTTCTCAACGTAGAACGTAGTCAAATGAACTTACAGGGTGCAATGCGCTGCCGTTAGTATCCACTCCTTCGAGATCAGTGAACCGCCGCAAATATGCTTCAAGAATATTAGAAACGATAATTGTAACGAGATTTGGTATGGAACATCTGTTATGTTTATAGGCTGGCCACCAACAATGCGACCATCTAGGCGCGGAGNACGGACAGACGGACAGACGGACAGACGGACAGACGGACAGACAGACGGACAGGGCCAAATCAACTCAGCTCGTCACCCTGATCAAGAATATATATACTTTGTGGGGTCTGCCACGCCTCCTTCTCCCTGTTACATACATTTCAACAAAACCATTATACCCTGATTTCCCATTGAAAATGGGTTCAGGGTATAAAAAGGGTATTGAATTTATAAAAAATCCGTAAAAGAATCACATAAGTCTAAAATCATAGTTATTGTTTTTTATTTGTTAGATGGGGTACTTCTGGAACCTCCCTCGGTCGTTTATTTCATTCATTCAGTTAGCTAAACACCGCTGTGCTCCTTGATCCATTCACGAACATGAGTTACTCTGGAGTATACGCCCGGAAAGTTGGGCATGGCACAGCCAAAGCCCCAGGACACCACGCCCACCAACACGCCGTCCCCATTCACCATGGGACCACCAGAATCTCCCTGGCAGGCATCCTTGCCACCTTGCATGTATCCAGCACAGATCATGCTATCTGTCACACCGCCGTACCGACTGTATTTCTTGTTGCACTCCTCCTGGTTGACCAGCGGCACCTTCACCTGGCGCAGCCAGTCGCGGGACTCCAAAGGATTCTGTGTGCTGCCCCAGCCGCTAACATAGCACGCATCACCGTCCTTAAACTCTTGATCCTGTGTCGGCAGCTTAACAGCCTGCTTGGTCTCATCGAATTCAATTGGTTCCTGCAGCTGCAACAGCGAAAAATCATTGTTGATATTCGAGTAGTTGAACTTTTCGTGTTGAACAATCTGTTTGATGTTTAGCAGTTGTCCATTTCGGGAGCATTCAGAAGTGCCCAGCCGCACGCGTAGCTGATTGGCTTGCTTGCCACTGGATTAGAAAAAATTGCGGTTAGTTTCTCAACGTAGAATCTGCAGCCGGAACAACTTACAAGGTGCAATGAGCTGCCGTTATTATCCACTCTTTCGAGATTAGTGAACCGCCACAAATGTGGTCGGATGTTTGCAACGAGATTTGATGTGGTGCATCTGTTATGTTTATGCGATGACCACCAACAATGCGACCATCGAGGCGTGGCTGTCGTCTGAAGAGCTCATTGACCAGCGATCGTTGGCGCTTGACGGGCTCAGGTATCAAACAGACGCCCGCCAGGACAGCAACGGCGGCTTGAAGCAGCAGAACAATCACTAATTTCGTCGACATTTTTGACTTGACTTTGACACACAGAAAAGAAGTGCTCGGCTTTTATAAAACCGGACCAGAACTTCAATAGGCTAAGCTAACAGATAGTCAAAAAACCCCACTGAGACTTTATCTAAGCCTGCTAGGTTGGCATACTAAAATAATTGGAAGAAATGAAGAAGCAATACATACTCTAAACGAATATTGGATACACTAACTTTAAGAAAATTGGAATAGATTTTACAAAATATACAAAAATTGGGAATTGCTCTTGATGGACTTAATCAAATATATAGATTCTAATTCAATTTCTAATCTACTTTGAATTAAGTTTATTACCTTCCAAGTTTATTAAAAAGACCTCTTATCTATCAATACACAAATATATATATTTGATTTTTTGTATAATACTTACCTAGTTTCACATTTCATATACAATAGATTACAGTACTTTATTTTCACAGTAGATAAAGTCGAGCTCTAGCTTAGCTTTAGCCTGTATAGCCGAACCAACCTTGATAAAACAATTGAAAGTGGGTCAAGTGTATTTTCGGTTACACCAAAGCACATTGCTTATTAAGGTATTCGTTTATAGCCAACAATTCTTTACAGTGTTCCAATTTCAATTCAAGTATCTCTTATAACATGCATCAGATTTTTACTCAACCACATAGATTAGATTACGTCCGACCTCGGTCAGTTTCCCCGAAAGATTGACGCTCACTCGTTTATCAGCCACATCAAGAACGAAACTGCCCTCGCTAAGAAGTGTCTTTCCGGTTTTATAGTCCTGGAAGTTGGGCAGTTTCCGTGGACCCATTACTGGATCCTCATAGCGCCAGATTTGGAGCGTGGACAGATCTGATTTAAGGCCGATAATCTTGGCGAGTTTCTCGCGCAGGGACTGCACTGTGTCACCTTCAGATATGATGGTGTTCACCTGAAACAGACTCGAGCGTTCCGTTGGATTTACCAGCTCAACTGGGACGTGAGGCGCAACACTGAAGCTAATGAAGGGTGAGCCAGGGCGCACTTCCTCGCGCGTCTTCTCAGGTGCCGAGGGATCATCAGTGTATTTGATTTCTAGACTTTCCAGCTGTTGTAGAAGAGTGTGTAAATAAGTCAAGCATTTTCAGGTAAATTTGCTACTCACATCCAAGGTGTTCTTCAGATAGTCGAGATTGCTGAGCAGCACCTCGCGCTCATCGAACTCCAGGGTGACCGCTAGTGCAGCCACGCCCTTGCCCGCCTCCACTTTCTCGCGTATCATTTGTGCAAAGGGCATCACACGCTTCATGAACTTTTTCAATTCGGGCTTCTGCTGCAGCGTGACTGCGATTAACTTGTTGTCGGGCAGCGTTTTGGTGTCCTTGTTATACATCTCCCGCATGGTATCCAACACGCAGCACTGCCACGGCGGATACGTTTTGGCCACCCAAACGAGACCGCGATTGGGCTTCGGTGTCTGGACATCCACAGCCTTCTCTTTGCCACCCTTGCCCCTGACTTGCAGCAGATTCTTCAAGTTAAGGCGGAAAGAATGCGCCGCCTCCATCAAATACTCAGAGCGCATGATGTCGTTCTCATTTATGGCGCCCACTTCGGGCCAACGAGCATGGACAATAGATTCCTTGTTGCCCAGCAGACCCCACACGTGCTCCGCCATGTGCGGGCAAATCGGCGACACCAACAGCGCCTGGCGACGTATAAACTCCATGACCAACTCCTCGTGCATGCCCTGGGCACCACACAGCTCGCGATACTTGTCACGAGCCAGCTGCAGCTCATAGAATCCGCTGCGCAGGGCTTCCTTGAACAACATACGACGATAGTTATCATCCGTCTGTTTTGTCTTCAGGTTCAGCTCGCTCAGGAAGACTTGGTCATTGAAGGTCTTGACAGCATCATGGCGCAGGCTGGTGCGCGTAGCCAGCATCTCCTTGACCCACTCAATGAATGTGTACAAACGCAGAATTCCCGCATCCGCGGTGCTCTCCACAAAGTTGGCGTCCTCTACGCTATCGCCAGCGTCGGCAAGGCACAGGCGCATGCCGTCCGCCGAGAATTTCTGTACAGCTTCGTAGAGGGTCAGGAAATTGCCATCTGACTTGGACATCTTGGCTGAATTGAGCAGCAAGTGACCATTGACACGCATGCCCTTGGGCCACTTTGTTTCATCATTGGGCCAAATGGCTGCATGATTGTACAGGCAGAAAGTCAAATGGTTCTGAATCAAATCTTTGCCAGACACACGCAGATCCATGGGATACCAGTACTCGAATTCCCGGCGCAGCACAGCCAAGTGCTCCTTTTTAATAGCTGTCTTCTTTGGCAGAGGCGTCTCTTTAAAGAATATATAGTCCCAGACGTCAGCGGTCATATCTTCAGGTTTGATACCTATAGAAAGTAAATTGTCGAGGAGTCAGTCATATAATAGACAAGCGTTTTACAATCTCAACTACCGAATGGTCCTGGCTTCTCGCCACGGAAAGTGCCGCCTTGCAGCAGGTGAACAACCGTATAGAAGGCCATATAGATGGTTGAGTCCGACAACGATTCAATGAGCCACTGCTCATCCCAGGGCAGTTTGGTGCCCAGGCCATAGGTACGCGAGCAGGCGTACTCGTGCAACCAGTTCAGACACGCCTCAAAGTTGTTGCGCGCCTCCTCGTGGAACGTCTCCATGTCCTGCAGTATTTTCATTGCCTGTGCCTGCCATTCGGGCTCGCCATAGTTCAGATACCATTGATTACACAGCGCCACCACGCACTCATCCGCTGAGCGTGACATGATCAACTTCTCTGGTTCATAGTAAATATCCGCCTCCTTGGCATCAACCAATTGCTTTTGCAACATCTTTTTCACGTCCTGGATTTTACGACCAGCGAACTCGCCCACCAGCATTACGCCATCATAGAAGCCTGTGAAGTATAAACATATCAATCAGAAAAATTTCTAGGATTCATTCATATACATTTTTTATCTTCTTAGTTGATTATGAGTCATTAATCCTAAAAGCTTTATAAAGATCAGTCTTTTTTATTCTAATTAGCCTAACAGTTGGTAAATTGTGTGATATATCGAAATTATAAATTAAAGGTATGTATGGATATGTATAATTCATTTTTCAAAATTCCTCAATAGACTCCAAAAGCAATTATACATATTATCCCCCCTCCAATAATGACACTTACTCTTCAAATAGCAAAGTTCCTTGGCTTCAGCCAGTTTTTCCTTGTCGTTCTGCGATTGAATCTTGAGCGTGTCGTAGGCATGCACAGCACTGAGCTTGCCGAGTGTTGGAACTTCGATAATGGGTATCGGCCCGTATGGCAGCACCATTTCATCGGTTAGGCCATACTTTTGACGGAATGCCTCCTTTTTCTGCAGATCCAGGAGAGCCGCATAGTCGTCGGGCGAGTCAGAGGGCACCGAGGTCACCACGCCCGTACCTTTATCCGCTTTAATACTCAGCATAGGCAGTGTGTAGATTTTTTTGTGACTAGTTAGCGGCGCCGACAATGGTACACCTAGGAGCTCCAGGCCAGTCACTTCGGCCAGTACATCAATTTTGCCGTCCTCGGCGGTAAAGCCTTGGTAGGACATGTTCCGAGCGGCCCGGTGAGTACTGACCCACACTTCGTTGTCGCGCGTGCTTTGCCAGGCAATGTACTTGATGTCTGGATGCAGCCAGCAGTTCGTTTGGCCGTACATCGTCTCCGGACGCAATGTTGCTGCCACCAAGAAGATGGGCTGCTTAATGGCACTGTAAGGAATTCAATGACATTACTGTCTAAGTTTACAATTGCAGATCGGGGCATTACCTTAAAGCTTTGGGTGTCTGCAGCACTTTCATTTTGATCAGAGTATATTCTTGGGGGCCAACGCCTTCGCCGCTGGAGCGATCGTGATCCATGCAGGGCTGTCCGTCTTTGGGCGAATAAATTGTATAGCGCTTGCCATACATGATCTTGCCGCGCTGCTTCAAATGATTGAACTGCCAGCGAACAAATGAGTCAAAATAGGGATTTGCATCGGTGGTTATAAACGTGCGACGCCAGTCTACGTGCACACCGATGCGTTTCAGATCCTGCACCGCAAGCGGTGGGAAATAGCCCAGCCAATGCTCGGCATTGGCGAATTGCTTGATTTCCTCATCCTGCAGGCCAAGGCTTTGCATGATTTGCCATTGGTATTTGGCACTACCTGTTTTGGCAACAGCTTTGCTCTTCTTTCCCTTGGATTTGTCCTTGGGCACCTCCGACTGCGACTGTTCAACGGCTGGCGCCTCTTCCTCCGTGTCCGGAAACTTGGGTGGATAGCCAAATGTCTCCAGTTCTCGTGCCAGCTTATCGGCGCACGCCTTGATCGGCATACCCGTGCAATGGAATCCGAAAGGCCACAGCACACGACGTCCCTTGAGACGATGGTAGCGCACAGCATACTCGGCCTTCGACATGGAGAATGTGTGCCCCAAGTGCAAGCGTCCATTCATATAGGGAAACGGAAATGTGACAAAGAATTTTTCGCTCTGCTGCTTTTTGGGCTCAGTTGGAGCATCTGTTTCGTGTACACGCTCTTTTTCCCATCGCTCTTGCACCTCGCGCTCGATTTTCTGCAGAAATTCCACCTTGAAGGTGCCTTTGCGTTCGACATTTGCCTATTGGCGTCATGCATATATTCAAATATTGTAATTATTTCGTTTTTGATTGTCATTCGATGCAAATATTGCATCAGGTTGCGGATTTTGTCCCCGTGGAATTTATTATTGGAATATACCGGGTAGTAAGCAAGTTGGCTATGCCGGTAATATTTTTATATATTTTCACTTACCATATTCCTTTATTTGGCTGTGCAGTTTATTATAAGTTCACTTAATATTTACTGAATTAACCAGCAACCAACAAATTGCAAATTGCAACGTGTTTACTTCGCTACGGCGGCTAAAAGGCTATTATCGTTTTTGCAATCGAAATACGTATGCAAGTATCGATATATCGAGGTGAGAATAAAAACGAAGTTTGATTTCCCGGGCACAGCCACTAACCACTCTGGTTAG